AAGAAGGACACGACAGGAGTTGTAACTCACGCACTTCAAAGCGTCTAATGATGGTCGCCGCCGCACTTGACGAAAAATAGAAAACATTCCCAAAATGCCTTATTGCTGCCTGCATCTTACCTGGACAAGCGGGGCCAGTAATATCCTGGCAATACTTGTAGTTTTTTGGTTGCAATTAAATACAAACTATCGATGTGACCAGCAAATAGAGAGAGAAAAATTCCTCATATTAGACCTACTTTTGCCATCATAAATAAACTTTTGACACACTCTTTCATTATCCATGCAAAATTTGTAATTCTAGTCTCCTCCATCCAATACATCAGTGTTCAAAGACAAGGTACGAATTTGGCTAAGACTGGCCAACAAAATGTTCACTACTTCTGGAAAGATCAGTTCATTGGGAACAAAATGCGCTATTTCATCACAGGGAGTGATCGTGAAATCTCATAAAATACGCCTTTGTGCAAATGCCATAATAAACATTATTCAAACAAAACACAAAATCTCACAAACAGTTTGGCTATTTATTCCAAAAAGAAGTCCACAAGAAAGCGTTCGATAAGGGCAACAACTGCACATGAACACTTCGGATACACAGCCTAATAAAAGCAACTGCGCAAGGACTACATTTAATGATGTTGTCGGATCATATCAAGCACCAACGATGGCATGAATATTCAGCTTCCTATACTGTAGTACACAACATTTTGGGATGCAGATTACCAACGAAAAATTGCGGCGACGATCATTGGGTACAAAGGGGGCTTATGGTTGCAAAACAGGTGGTGGGTAGCAGGCGTGCGCTGCGCTCTGGCTATGGACATACTGGGAATGCCAGAAAGTGGTAATCGGCCAAAGGTTATAGCCCGGGCTGTTCAAACTCCTTCTGTGTCCTTCCCCCATGTTCAGACATACCCCATTCTTTCAGAGATGTAAGACGGCTTTGTTTTCCACATTCCTTTCGCTTACTATTTACATCGGCGTTTTAAAATCTGTCACCCCACTGCTTAATTTGTGGATTTTTTAAAAACGTTTTCATATGGGCAATACTCGTTATTAAAAATTAATTTTCTTATGGCTCAAATCAACTTTACTTGAACTGAGGGACCTTTCTGACTTCCACTTGAATACAAAGTGTGTTTATTTTTCTGGGTGATCAGGCACCTTTTTTAGTCTCACATATCGCACCTGATCAGACTACCCACCACAGATAATAAACGAGGCTTTTCACCGAGAAATGTCCTTGTTTGGAACCCGGCCGAAATATATTATGAAATTCCCTGAATTACACGATTTCAGCGTCAGTATGTACGGTCATGGGCACAAAAGAGGTCGAAAGGAGAATTCGATCGAGCCGGCTTCTGTAGCGTAGTATGTACGGAAAAGGATTACGTGTTGCTGATTTTCTTGGTTAGAAACCAAGATGTGAGGTTTTCTCCTTTCAATATCTTTTTTCTTTCAGGTTATTTCCTGTTGGAAACACGAAATATGTCAATCAGGCGTAAATTAGTGCCAGAAATTGGGGGGATGGAGGTGGGGAAGGTTGGGGGAGGGAATGACTTGCCCGTCCATGAGAATTTGAAGGGGGGGGGGCTGACACCATTGACTCGATATGGGGGTCGATGTTCATGATATTGATGTCCATCTGTAATATACATTCAAAAGGGCATATTTATGGCATAATAACTTGTTTTCCCTTTATTGAGCAATACTGAACGTATTTTAGTCGATGGAAGTCTGAAAAATTTATTATGATCCGTTTTCATTTTTTGCTCACTACAAAAGGGGAGAGGATCCAATAGCCCACCCCCCACCTCAATACGTGTGGGGATGCACAGTATACCCCCCCATGTCCCTGGGACTTACGCCGATGGTTGGAAAATTTCAATTAAAAAAGTTATTTTATTATTGCCTTCATTTGTAGCCCTGAATTTTATATTATTTTATTTGAGGAAAAAAGTTCACTTCAACGCATTCTGGATTAGGTAATACCGTGTTTCTTTCGACCCGTTCCGAATGGGGGCTTTTCCCCGTAAAAGTTGCGTCTTTTAATGGCAGTGGGCAGTCTGATTGGGGGCACCTCTATGTTATGAGAGGTGATTGGGATAAAGGACGTATGTTTGCAGATTTCCCTTGTATGAAAAATTAGTTTATCGCTTCAAAATAGGTGCTTAAATGAAATCTGGGTCCAGTCTTTGCGCAGACATGACCAGGGTTTAAGTCAGCCTCTTAAATACGCAACTTCTTCAGTTTTCTTCCACTGTTATTCCATCGGTTAATACACAATCTGATTTTTACTATTCCACTTGTTAATGCACATCCTGCCTTCTCACCAGCAACAGCGGCATATCCTCTAACGGTAGCGTGATGATCCTCACACAAAATTAATTCACTCACGGAAAACACGGTGTGCTTTTATGTCCCTGTAGACTGGCGGCCATCTTGTATTCTGCGTTATTGGTATTATGTATTCAATCAACATGACGGTGCTGTTTTCAACTGCAGCGGCTGAAGAAGAGGAAACTACTGATAGCGAGGTTAGTGTTTGATTATATCAAGCGAAAAGTGTGGACAATCAGCGTATGTTTACCTGTGCCCGACTTAATTGAACGTGGCTTGGCACGTCTATCTACATGAAGAGCGGGAAGTCGTAGCGAAATAGCTCGCACTGCCCGAGGTTACGTCCGACTGAAGTTTTGTTGCATGAGTTAAACTTCATATCATTAATTCTGCAAAATTACCCCTTGTGCTGAAAAGCAAACGTGTATCTCAGCTGATAGCCTTCTGTATAAATTTGTACTTTATAAGCAATATGGAGGTATTGTGACAAAATGAAAGCTCAGATTTGTTCAAGTCAAGTGAGGTAGTGAATAAATTATCTTTTCTTAATGCAATATCCCCTTTCTAAATTGCTGTCCACAGTCGCCTCTAGCGGCAAGGGCGGCCGTAGATATAACCTTGGCCACCTTGGGGATAGTACAGGTGTTTCTGTCCGTTCGATGCCTCGCATTTGCCAGTAAGGTGTGCTGCAGCGGGAATAACTTAGCGCCGAGGCGCAACAGTCGGCCCAATACAGTGAGTACTGTGGACTTCTTCATTGGAACAGGGAAGTTAGAATTATCAAAAAGTCAGTGCTTGAAAAGGTACCTTTACTCCCCACAATCGACTTGCTTCAGAGGATGAGGCATAGAGGCCCATTTTCTGTAATACAATGGACTTGCTAAAGAGGATGGGGCATAGAGTTTTATTTTCTGTAACACTGTACGTTAACCTAAGCCAACGCTCGCTTATGAGGACCAGATTGTTCAAAAGATTAACTGCAGAGGACAAAAAGATTTGTAAAGAAAGTCTTCCAAAGTTGTGAGGCCGATTTTAAAGAATGGCTTACATCCCATATTCCCTTTTTCCCGAGACAATTTGAAATGAAGCATGTTTGATAAAAGATTCCTAGAGGAGCACAATAACATGTTTTCCTCATCACCTAAGCAGATTGAAACAATCACTGGGATAAATATACTTTTATGTCACTTGTTCATAGGAAAACCCTCGGGAGATAGAGGTAGCTGGAATGAACATTGATATTGATGTGCCGCAGACACCAAGTACAGTGATGGCGCCCCCTAGCTATGGTGAGTGAATAAACTGTTTACACTAGGGCAAGCTCAAAATTTCACAATAAACACTGTCTCTTTCTATAAAACGATCGCTTTTAGAAGTGCACTTTCTCACAAAGCATGTTGAATGTCCCTATATACAGCGTATGTTAATTCAACGGCACCACAGTCCTACGATATCCGATTCGCGAACGGGAACTTTCCACCAGTGCCACCTTACGCCGACCAACCGCCCTCATACAGTGAGGTAACATCAAGTGCCTGGACACCAAACTCTTTGCAAATCCAGATCTCATACACACCCACGAGCGAGGAGCGTCAAGAGCACACAGCGGTTAGCATTGCTGCAGACAGCCAGGCTCGCGAGTCCGAGAACGGGCAAAGTCCGCAGGTCACGACCACAGTTAGTGTTGATCAGGCCACCGATACACCGAGCACGCGGAGCACTCACCAAAGAGCGCAAAATGGAGTGGTCGCTGTGGTGGAAGTTGAACCATTCACACCCAACATTTGTGATACCCACATAGGGGAACTCCTGCGAGAAGACGGCCAGAGTTCACAATAGGCGGTTGTGCTACAGTTAACACCCGTCCAGACTAACCCGACAAAACTTCACATTTTGAGTTAATTAATTTCTACACTTTCTTGGTTAGATCTAGTTTTCAAAAGATAGACGCCATGAAAATTATTGAATACCTCTGAGGAGTATTTATAAGTGTCAAGCTCTAAAAAGTATAAATTTACCTCAAAGGAAAAAATGATTGTATTCCAGAACTAATTAAGTAGGTTTTCGTTCGTGTAACGGACGTTTATAACCAAAACAAGTAACTAAAAATAGTAATATACTTTATAAAACAAACAAATATTCATGATGTTGACAAATGCCGTAATTCAAATTAAATCCCTAACTACAGACGTGATGTGCTTGCCCCATCAGGTTAATTTGCCTATAATGTTATACTGTAAATGTGTGGGGTTTCTTCAGGATGAGCAATGTCAACTTATTGATCTGCAAATGATGTCATTCGCTGTGCTTCCGTGCATGGTGTTGGCCCAACTAATGATAGCCAAACTGTTCAATTTCTTAAATTTGACAAGCACACAGACGCTATCTGAGTGCTTCTGGGGTCATCCCCCTGTTGTAGTTTAGGTAGTAGCCTAAATAAAAACTACAGTATTAGAGATAAGTAAAAAACGACTGAATAGTCCTGAATTCTTTGCTTAACAAGACTGACGTATACTAAATGACTTACCGCGAGGGCACGGCGTACTTTAGACCCACTGAGCTAATGATTAACTAACTTTGGAAATTATTACATTATCTCACAACGGGAACCGGTTCAGGAGAGTGCAAGGCATTGGAAAGGTTGTTATTCAGCGAGGCCATTTCATACATTCAGAATTTCAGTGTTGCGAAAGATACTAAGGATGTGAAGCCCTTTCCTGTTTTAAGAATGAGTAGCACTGGACGCAGAGAAGCACGATAGTTGAAGTCTGCTTGCAGTGCAGATAACAATACGACAGCTGTGGGATAACTTAACAGTCGTTGACATTCTGTTGAAAGCAGTTTTGTTTCCTCAGGTGAGTGTTCAGAAGTTTTTCGTGACCATTGAGAAAGCTTTATCAGTGGAACATGATGGTATATGTAACTGCTGGTTGTAGCGAGGATGAGGATGGCTATTTTCGGGAGTGAACTGAAGAAGGATTCAGCGGGTGGTTTATAATTGTGGTGGTAACTTTAACGATCATATAGGCGATAATGAGGATGTGATGATGGTGTGTGATTGTTGGAATGTCAATAATGGTAATATGCAGGTGTTGATGCAGGAGAGTGGTGTGGTGGCAGTGGTGTAATCAAAATAACGGTGACATGTTGGGTTGATGGTGAATACGACGATAACAACCTTGACAAAGGAACAACTAAGATGACAACACTGGAACTAAGTAATTATGGCAGTTAACGAGGATGAAAAAGCCAGTGAGAACAGATTTTGAGCTGCAAATTTTACTTTGCCGTAAACCTAAGTGTAACGTGTAACCGAATGCCAAAATGTGAGAGGGTTAAAAAAATAAATCCTTCATCAACCCTAACCCACTAGGGTGTATGTAAAATCATATTGAAATCGGGGGATTTCAATAAAATAGAATTTCTATCGAAGATTGAGCATTTGATCCATGGTAAGGTTGCATAAACTTCACAGTTGCCATTTTTCAAGAGGAGGTAAAGTCCAAAGATTGGGTAATTAAACCGGCCATGGCAATACACGAAGATTGGTCTATATTAGGGTTATTTACATCTTCCGCACACTGATTTATGCACCAATACACTTTTCACCCCGATGTGTCAGGGTCGTCCTCAGTCATTAAGGCAACGTTGACTTTTGGACTAATAGCAACCTCTACTTAACATTCAGAGGTACATTCGAAATTTTGCATGGTGCTAAAGGAAACAAACTCCTATTTTGAAAAACTAGCCCCGCCCAGAAAAAAGAACAACAAGTCTTGGATTTTATTCTTGAAAATGCCTGTGATTATATGGTGTTACTTGGTAGATATTGTAGAATCTTCAATCAAGATGGCGGGTCCGGGGGAGACGGACCAATCACAGCAAGGAGACGCCACTAGCACCACTACGTCATTCCCTCCCCGAAGCTCACTGGTCAAGCCGATCTACGTGGCGGGAATCCTGCAGCTCATTTTGGCTCTTAGCATCGGCGTGGTTGGCATGTTTGCCTCATCCAAGAACTGCGCACTAAGTATCACCTGGGTTTATTTCTTCAATTCAATCTGGGTGGGTATTTTTTACAAACCCTCCCCAAACCTCAAGCAGCAAGATATATTAAAGGCACGTTATAGCGAAATATGCTGTCACACGTCATCCTCCATTTTTGAAGAGGCACTGTTACTCAAGTATTCGCTTCCTCCGAGGGAACAACAACACTTCACAACAATCAATTCTCACCGCTCCCCGTGTAAATAAGAACCCCCTCGGTACTTTGCCATCAATATCAATTCAGGTGTAGGAGGTTCAATTTCTGAGTTGATTTTCGGCATACAAAAAACCCACGTGTTGCTTCTAATGGGATTCCTCTCAATGGTTAAAACAGATACAGTTGTGCTCCATTATCCATACCCTTTGGAAAATAACATACCTTTCTAAATTCTTCATTTGTAGAAGCTATTAGGCCTATGTTGGTACTTCCGCTATATCTTTTGTATATTTGTTGCAATACACAAAGCCACATATGAGTTGGCTAAACTTCATTTGCATAATAATAGATACGTCCCGGGTTTCTTTTTTGCTCCTGGTCAAAATTATTCATACCCCGACAAAATCCCAAGAAAAAAATGTCCTTTCATTCATACTGCTTTTTTTCACTTTCTATGACTGCAAGAATCTTTGGCCTGAAGCAATCTAAAAATATTTCAATAGAATAAATACCTTGTTTTAATGACTTTGTGCTGTGCTGATGAAATGCCACCCCCCCCCCAAAAAAAGAAGGTAAAAATAAGACAGGTTTTCAGATCATTCTCAGTTACTCGTCACCTCGGCCAAGAAGTAGGAACTCGATTAGGATATACGCCAGTGTATCGTGAATGCCCATAAAGAAGGCAAAGGGTACAAGGCAGTTTCCAATCAATATGAGGTCCCTGTTGCAACAGTTCAGAGTATCATCAGGAAGCATATGAGGTTCAACACAGTGAAAAAACCGTGATGGGTGTGGCAGGAAGGGCAAAGTATCTCCTAGACTCGCCAGAAAAATCTGTCGGGAGACCAACAACAACCCACGGATCAAAATCAAGGCCCTAAATGATACCCTTGACAAGGCAGGGACGAAGGTGTCACTGGCAACCATCCAGTGAGTATTGCACAAAGAAGGTCTCCTTGGACACAGGCCCAGGAAGACACCACTACTCAGGAAGAAACTGATAAGGAGGCTCGTCTGGCACTTGCCAGAGCACATCAAAACCAAGATCCTACCTTTTGGTCATCGGTCCAGTGGTCTGATGAGGCAAAGATGAAGTTGTTTGGCCACATGGATATTGCCTACGTCTAGAGGAAGCAAGGAGAAGCATACAAGCCGAAGAACACAGTCCCAACCGTAAAGCATGGTGGTGGCACCATAATGCTATGGAGTTGCTTCTTTGCTAGTGGCACTGGAAACCTCATTAAGATAACAGGGCATTATGAAAAAGGAGGATTATATCAAGATCCTTGATAACAATGTGAAAGCGTCGGCAGAGAAACTCCAGCTTGGACCAGACTGGACGTACCAGTAGGACATCGGACCCCAATAACACCGTCAAGGTAGTAAAGCAGTGGTTCAAGGACAATGGTGTTCATGTACTGGAATAGCCAAACCAAAGTCCTGACCTAAATGCAACAGACAATCTTTGGGAGGAGCTGAAGACCAGCGTGATGGCCAGGAGACCATCCAACCTGACCTAGCCGAGTGGGCCAACATCCCACGTGAGACAGAAAGCTTGTGGACACTTAAGGGAGGCAGTCATCAAGAACAAAGGTCACGCTATTGACTATTAAGAAGAGACTTTTGACTATGTAAATGTGGGGTTTGAATAAGTTTGACCAGGAGCAAAAAGAAACCCGCGTCGTATCTATTATTATGCAAATGAAGTTTAGCCAACTCATATGTGGGTCTGTGTATTGCAACAAACAGATAAAAGATATCATCGTGGAAGCACCAACGTAATAGCTTTTACGACTGAAGAAGTTAGAAAAGTATGTTATTTTCCAAAGGGCATGAATAATTGAGTACAACTGTAACTATGAAAGCTTCATCCACACCGCCTACAAGGGTTTTTATTTTGAAGGCACAATGCTACTGTACCCACCGTTAGTTGTTTCAGATTAATTGTCAACTTTGGCGAACTATTGTAACCAATGAAGGTAAACTTTCAGTTAGAGAAGTAGCTAATAACTGATAATTATTGTTTGCCCTGTATTCATTTTCAGCACTGTTTGATATGATTCCCAACCATAAACCCAGCTCTCTCGTTGAAAGGGATAAAAACAACGCGGACACTAATAAAGCAAAACCAGTTTTCACATTTTTTACAACACCTATTAACTTAGTATTTAAACAACTATGAACAAAACAACTAAGATGTTTCAATAAGCTTGTGTGCCAGTACGACTTCGGGGAAGGAGAAGTGGGATGTGAATGGGGGAAAGGAGGTTCTTATTACGGGCGCTTCATTCGGAAAACCAGCACCACGGGTGCCTTGTTTTTGATGAGCTCACGCGCGTCGGGGCACATCATTGCAAATGACGTTTGGATGTGGAGACTCTGATCCAATCCAAGACCTCTGACAAAGCTGTCAGACCGCGCCAGCAGCACAATGACGACATAAACTCCTCGCCACCTCAAAACACACGTGGCTGTCCATATCCACAACATTTAATAGCTAAAATAAAAAGGGCATCTCCATTGTTTTTCCACACAAGTAATAGCCTTCCTGCATGGCTCAGACGATGTTTCTTTTCCCTAGTTTATCGTATCAAGTTCGGTGGGTCTGTCACCTTCCAGACGAGGCGCAGTGGCACTAGGAATGAAGGAAATCAAAAGGACGGTAAGTTTACAAGTGGTTTTTAAAAAGTCCTTTAGGCCTCAAATGTTCTCAAGTTCTTCAAAGTGTAGCTCTCAATCATATCGGTGGAACTAATTAAATCTAGCACGTTAGACCTGCTTTCTGGTACGTCAAGATAACCATCTCTGCTTTGTTGTACCTGCGAATCACTGACGTCTTCTCTCAGGGATTCTGGTATTTAAATAAAGTGGCACAATAATTTTTTTCTCAGATGAAATGGTATCGAATGATGTGTCTTGTTGGTCTGCTGATGATCTTCGGTTTTATGACCGTGGAACTGATTGGCATATTCCAGGAACCTAAACCAGCTCGAGTAGAGGTGAGGCAAACACAATCACCATGTCACCAAGTCACCTTATCACCTCTTCACCGCCGTCCCCATCACAATGAAACGTGTTATCTGATCGATCACCAGCGTCATATTTACTATCACCATGATATGAATTACGGCCCTTTAATACCACTAATACACATATCCGGTACGAATTCCTACTAAAGCTCTGCAATCCCTGTGGATGCTTACAGTCAGTTTGTCAAAAAAATAAAGTCATGCTAGAGGAAAAGTGTTATTCAAAAACTCAACAGTCCTTGTGCAAGCAAGTTTGGTAAACCGAGGAAGCAGTGGATGCTAAGCAGAAAATTGTTGGAGTGTGCACATACGGTATGATTGGTGGATAAGGTTGGCACACGTCAAAGCTTCTGGTAACCAGACATTACAAGAACGAACACTCCGACTTTCATTGCCTGAAAGCCTGCTTGCAGAAACAAAAGAAAGAAAAGAAAAGTCAAGAACAACAAACATTGATGGAAATAATCCAAACTATTGGGAAAAAGGCAAATACATGTATTAATACAAACTTTCATCTGGTCAGTAAGTTGACAAACTCCTTTCTTCAACAGTGGAACTGCATGACGATGCACTTGATCATTCTCGTCGTAGGCTTCGCTGCTCTCGTGGTGTCAATGGGAGGTATAGCAGCATCCACAAGACTTATCATCGTCTTCAACAGGATGCAGAGACAGGTATAATGACGTCTGCATTCCTGCTTGTTGTTTTTGTAACCAACAAGAGATGTTCAACATACTGTGGCAACACAATTCCAAAAGGGGAAGTAGTATCCCTCCTTTTGTTTCCTACAAGCGTTTGAGGTGAATTAAAATTACGTAAAGTATTCGTATATCATCCATCATTATTGTAATTGCCAGGTATTACTTTGCTCTTTCTGATGCAAGATCAACGACTCTCTATAAATTGTCATTGTCGGTGCAGGGGTATGACAACACCTTTTCAGCGCAGTCCAACACAGTGTCTGGCAGCCTGGGACACACAAACTACGGCATGACACCAGGTGAGGAGAACAATACACAGAGAAACACGGTCAAAGTCAGTTTATTATAAATTTTGTCATTAATTGGTGCAGCTTGTGTTTTGTTTTAATACGTACGTGTTTGAATCAGTTGACAGGGCATGAAAGTTAAAAATTCATCTATGAGAGGTGGTTGCAATGAATATCCCTTAGATCTCCTCAGGGGTGTGCATATCACTTGAAACTATTGTCTATGATAAGACAAAAATCACCAAGGCCATGTTAGAAAAGCGTACGGCGCCCTCTAGTAGCACGACACTTTACCCAATATCTGACCAGCCCATTTTTAAGGCATCCTTTGTCCCTTTGGCGTCACTTTTTTTTCTGAAACGGGTTTTGTGTTGCCCTGATTCCACAGATATGTTCATCTTACCAGAGTATTCTGTCGATGCTGACTTGCCACCAAGCTACGCTGACGTTGTGTCCGGAAAAGCCGACGGAAATGAATGTCGGTCGGGCATTGACGCACCTGATGAACCCTCGTCGAGCAACTCGTAACACGTTCCAGAGCTTCAGCCACAGGCTGTAGAGGGCGCTGTGTATGAACGTAGCACTGGACCATTTCTGCACGTGAATAATTTTCATTATGTTGATGCATACTCTAAGAGTTTTCCGCAGGGATAATTTGCATGTTTGGGCAAAGCCTGAGTGAAAGTTGTACATTTTTTGTTGTCAATGAATATTGAGACGCGAGGGCTGGTTGCCCGCATAACCCAACATACTGCTAACGATTTTGTGCCGGAAACCGACATGGAAGTGTGAGCGACTATAATGAGCTGGTCACGATGAACACACGATCGTGAAGTCCTTCGCCATCCCACATCACGCAAAATAAACCACATCGGCCTACTACATGACGATGGGGAGCCCTCTCTTGATGTTAAGCCAATCCTGATATCAAACAAATGACCAAGACTTATATGCATCGAGGGATTTCTGTTTATCCATTTTTACAAGGAGTTATCTGTTATTAGAAATTTGATGGCTAAATGCCTCATTGAAATTTCAACTAACCTTTTGAGCAGCTATGATGGTTTATAGTATTTGAAATAACTTAGATATTGTAGTGTGAAAATAAACACAAACCTTTTCGCTTTGGCAAACGGGAAAAATCTTTGACAACCATTGACTGGTCTTCCATCATTGCGTCAGCGTATTTAGCCATTTCATAGTTATGAGGCTATTAGTTACAACAATTTAAAGTGAAAAATGAAATCTAGAGATGGTGGAAATTCGAGCAATTTCGTGAATGTATACAATATCTCAACGTCTCTGCAAACAAATAGTTGGAAAGCAGTGTTTATTTTCTTTTTTAATTAGTGTTTATTGGATAATAAAACGGTCCCGTTCGATTAGTTGGACGTCAAATTTGCATTTAGGATGAGTTTTCTCTTTGAACGTTTTTCTGTTATTTTCAGGTGATGTCCGATATTTTCTTTGTAATAGTTGTGTTCACTATGCATTTCAACTTCCAAGTGTAAAAATAAAGCAAGTTGATACCCAACATCACCTTTTGTCATATCAGGTTACGTGATGCGAGGAAATTCTTATTCAGAGGGAAATCAGATGACTAATGTTTTTTGCTTTGGAAGATTCCGTTGGTCCCCTTTTCATGAACACTTTACTGTGAGGGCCGGCCCTGCCTCGGTGTATGCTCCTCTTCCAGGCTTTATTCCCGTTGGGGAAACACGTTTACGTTTTGAGACACAAACATAGTTGAAAAATTAGCATTATGATGGCATCATGAGATTAATTTTGGGTGAAAAGAAGAGTAGCACAGATCACCCTTTGTTAAATCGGCAAATAACCTTTAATTTAGATAATTGACATATTACATGAATATACACACCACAATATTATTTTACATCATACGCTATCAACATAAACGTAACACTGTTGGCAAACACAGTACAGATCTTTGTCTTTTCTGCAAATGTTTTTCACTTTTGAAAACAACATACTCTGAATAAAAATGTTTCCCTTTTCTGGAAAGGAGATAGTGAAACTTTTTGTGCTGTTTGACAGCTGAACTGTCTTTGGATTTCCATCTGTTACAGTTCCCTGAGGAATTCTCCGCGAATAGTTTGTGTTAAATTTCGTAATTAACAAATCTTATTTAACAGATAAATAATTCCATCACACCAAGGGATTGCCACTAGCTATTGCGATGTATTCGGCAGCAACCTACAGCAATTGTGCTTCCAGGACGTGCAGCGTACCCGTGTCATCTGGAAACGTTCAGATGAACGTAATTATGTAGAATTCAAAACGAACAAAAAGCCCTTCATTCTATATTAAATTCCAGCCAAGTATCCGAAATATGCCAACACTTGCCATCATTTTCACGGCAGCGGTGGAAATTATTAATACGCAATGGACTAAAACTGTAATACACCCTCTGTTGAAATGATACAAGACATCGGCTTGCCATTAGTGAACAATGACCTGTCATCGATAGACCATTATATTATCGATTGGTAGCTTAATCAAACGATCAGATGATCAAAAGAAACTTTCTGTTCCTACCATATCATAAAATGACACATGGTGCTTTTCATGAGAGATAATTCTTGCTACTTACAAAGCTGCCGCTTTTAATCTGCCAGGTCACGTGCAATCTGAAACAAACACGCACAAAGTTCAAACAGCAAAAAACTGCCAATCACAAAATAAGACTCAACTGCACAAACTATAGCAATTCACGGTGGCAATTTGGACGGGAATAAAAGCAACAGATGGCCAACGTTAAATTAAGCAATGATCGATATTCAACCGTAAGTGGCAAAACCTCTGAATAAGACCAAACCTGCAGATTAACACGAACACGAACTAGTTCACCTCAAGCCCATACACCTGGGAAATTTCGTTAGGTAAACAACACCGCATATACTAATAGACGGAATAATTTAACTGTGCTGCATTTAGCATATTTATAACTTTATGGAAATGATTTGAATCTTTGCACTGAATCTCCCCTGCATTATCAGTGCAACGTATCGTTTCTTTAAATGTTACGCTTAAAGCAAAGAACATTCCGCTGTCAACAAAGGCCTTCTGCATTAATACGAGGCAGGCGGAAAAGATTTACTAAGGCTTGCCTAACGACATTTCTGATGGGCATGTGGGCAAGTGGACTGCCCTTTCACCGACGGCTCGTTAGCAATCTTGACAAAAGAAGTCTCGTGAGAAGCTTTTCCTCAAATTACTCTGACTCAATTTTTGCTTTGTTACAGCACTAAGTACTACTTTTTTATTGTTAAAATTGTCACAATTTTGGGAAACCAAAATAAAAATCGAAATTGGCTTTAACATGGAAAATAAAGTCAGACCTATTCTTCACGTCATCGATAGTATTACCGTCGAGGTTTATCATTATTTTTTAACCTTGCTACCTCCTTGTTTGAAGTAAAAAGGAGTAAAACTAGCCTTCCAAAGTCTTCTTGCTTCTGTTACGATCGAAACAGAGGTCGGCCTTGACACTTTTTCATTCCCACGGGGAACAAAACAGTAAAAAGAAAAACTCGTTAAAGAAATACGGTATTTGGACTCTGGACTAAAGTCCGACAAAATGTTACTTGATTATGTCAACGAATTAGTTGAAATATCAACGACAGTGAAAATCATCAATAGAAGTGCTACTCACGTAACGAGATATTGCACTGAAGTTACCCCTGTGCATTTTTAACACTAGAAAAAATCACACCGTCGCTCTACGCGTGACAGCTCTTAACTCAGCCCATTTTGTTGCTCCAAGCCATATTTCTCGTCCTACTAAATATGCTTTCCTGTTGAACGGCTGGCCTTCATATTCCCTTGCTCGTGGGCGGTATCACATGTTTACTACACACTCGGGAGACGTTTAAGTTTAAAGTTGTCTGAGATTGTGTCCATATGGCTGCGGCTTGAACTTACACAGAGTTTCAAGCCTTAGCAAGTTGCTTCGGCCTGAGTACCATTCAAAATAGTAGCGCCAACAACTGCCTTACTGTGCACTGCCGCGATAAGATTACATGTTCATTATGGCATCAAAATCTACATTTCAAAATACATTTAGTATTATACGTGTACTTAATTTCAATTTAGATTATTCAAATGCTCAAATATAACTGTCGTAAACCTTTTACGTATTGTAGGCCTATATCAGCTTCACTGGTATCAGCCACAACACGTAACTTATAACGTGGTCGTATACCAATAAATATATGCCAGCTATACTTACTCAGCCGTGTATCACAAGTATCACTAATACATTTTGTTTGCGAGAGTTTAAAAAGGACTCAGATTTTTAAATAGTAGAGCCACCTTTTACCTAATCTTATTATTCATACCGCAGGCGAATGAGCTACAGTTGTACTACAATGTACTTGTGCTTATCTTGCATGCGAGTTGCATTTTATAGGCCTATATGATTCGACGAAGCAAAAGGGCAGGGCTACCATGGGCTCCTCTAGTCTGTACCTTACTGAGCATTTTCCGTTAGTAGCTCGTGGGTACGATGTTTCAATATTTCTAGGTATGGTAATATTTGAATTTATTTTTATTCACGCCACTCTTAATCTATGCACACTCTACTTCACTTGGTTACAATTACATGTAGGCCTATATAACTTTTTAAGCATAATATTTCTGAAGCCAGTCACATCGCAAATACAGTACGTTCAAGCCTCTTCTAGGCAAGCAGTAGATCGGAGATTGATAGGATATATGAGGCGTACAGGTGGCCTTAAATAGGAAGAACATCTGGATTCATTATCATGTGTAAGCACAACCAGCTCAAAAAGCTAGGAAAGAATTGCAGTACTTTGCACTGAGATTCTCCTGCTCAAACACCAAGACAAAGCCACATATTGTTGGTATACCGTGCATTGACAATCTATCGTTGTTCCTCTTATTTCCCTTGTTCACAAAGTGTGCAATAAAAATACTTTTGACTTCACTTTTACTGGCATTTTATCGCTACGCTTTTCATTTGCTAAGAGGCATACTGTAGGTCGTTACTCCTATTTTCTTTTCGCTCAGTTTTCCAGGTCCCTGGGCAAATCATTTATTTTGTGTCTTCCTTTTGACTTAGCACATCACTTGTTGGACACTTTGCATTACCAGTCACAATCTCCTATATCCGTTGCCATTTTTGATGTCAGCCCGAAACTGAATCGATATTTAGTGACTACGGCTTACGTCATTGCCACTACCAAAATAAGGGATAGCCGTTAGAAACAAGCCCTGACACTCAAGATGGGGTTTGACGAGTGCTGCGGGCAATGTGTAATTTCTTTGCGAACTATCAGTTCAAATTTCCAATGAAGGAAACAAGGCGATGTTACCTGTGAGCTATAAGAGCCGTACTATAATAATTTGGTTATCTAGTTCACCTTAGTTACCCCACAACATCAAATCCAAAACACTCGAATGTTACATATATTTTACTTCAACCGCCATGATGTGAGACCTGTCACACGTGGGACATCTGCGAGACGTTGGCGCTGGTACGCCGGGTCGTTCCTGTGAGTGTCGTAAGGCGCATGGTTCCCTGTCCATGGCGTAAGCGTTGCCTGCTCCACACACAGCGGAACAGACAGCAGCGCTGGCGGTAGGTGGAGCTCATGACGAAAACAATCCAAGGGTTGGTGCACGAGTTCGTCAAAGCCATGAGGAAGCTGATTATCCTCAGGTAGTCTATGTAGGACGGATAAGGCAGCAGAGCAATCAGCTCAACCGAGGTGTAAGCCCTAACATGAAGGTGGATGAAATGAGGCAGCCAGAATATGGCAAAGAGCACCGTGATGAACAGGACGATGCCGGCAAGACGCTTGCGGAGCCGACTTTGCTGGGCGTGGCTCTCGGTGTAGTCAAACTGCACAACGCTCTTATACAGAGAGCTCGCAATGCGAATGTAAAAGAAGCTCACGATGGCTAGAGGTAAAACGTAGCCCAGGACGGACCGAAGGGAGACGAATACTTTCTTAACAATTTCATGGGTAGGGAACTGATTACATTGTTTGTAGTTGGTCTTGCTGGCAAAGACAAGGGAGGGGATACCCAGCAGTAATGAGGTGGATATAACTACCGCTACAGCACAGAGACTGTTAACGGAACAAGAACCCCTCCTTCGGCGGTTCTCTATCCCACAGACGATGGCCAGGTACCTCTCGCGGCTCAGGGCCGCGAGAGAGAAAACGCACATGCTCTGACCCACATCTTCCACGTACGCCTTGAGCTTGCAAGTGGAGACTGCGGCCTCCCAGCTGGGCGAGATCTCCTTCTCGATGAAGAAGGTGGAGGCACTGAGGATGTACAGCAGGTCGCCCACTGTGAGGTTGATGATGAGGATATTGGGTGGGTTGCGAAGTTTCTTGTGCCTAACCACCAGGTAGATGATGCTCAGATTCCCAACTAGCCCAATAAGGCTTAACAAGGCAACCCCAATCGGGCCAGCCAGGGATCTGGCTTCCAGACAAGAACTGTCGACGCATGTGTCGTTTTCAGAGTAGAGGTACGAGAACTCCATCTCCTGAGCCAGATAATTATCCATGGTTCCAAAGAATATAGCCCACGTCCGTGCAGACTCTAACTACGCGAGAACCTTCTGTTGCTCCGTACTGAGTTCAGATAACACCTCGGAGTGAGTTTTCATACCTGTCAAACACACAATATAAAATTACATTTATTCACTGACAGATCTGATTACTACAAGGTTCCATTTCAGGGAGCATAGTGATCGGTTCTGCGTCTCTCTGCAGAAACACGTTACAATGTAGTACAAAACCTTGTGCTTCAGCATCACGTTTGATAAGGTGTACAATTCATCTCATTTTTCTCGCTCCTATGAGAAAATTCTCCTTTTTCTCCTTCCCCATTATTACTTCCTTTTTACGCCAAGTTTCATTCTTTCCCTGGTTAATATACCAAACTTACCATAATCCCAAAAAGGTCAACAATAACCGCAGTTTCATACTAGGGCCTTTGCTTCGAATGGTTTTTGGCCATGTGAATAAGAAAACTTAAAATTCAACAACGAAAAACCGACAGCACAAGATAGAATTGTCGTTAATCACTTGGTTTGTGGGACCTGATTTCCTTTCTTTTGTCTTTTGACTGGTATTTCATACTAAAAGCAGAGCTAAGCGTGTGTAACTTCAGCGTACCCCGGACGTGTACAGTGGAATACGCTTTTCTCTCGCCAATTTAGCCAAGCCGTTTGTTTTGGCGCCGAATCACGATTCCAATTTCCTGTGCAAGAGATGGCAACTGACCAGGCGAAGGGGCTAGTTGTTTTCGTGTCGAAGAAGACATGTTTGATACCTTGGGAACCTCCAAATTATATTTGGGTTTCAAAATGTTTCATAACGCTGGTGTCAATGGCATTTCTGACGTTAAAAACATCCTATTTCCGCCCGTCGTTTTCCATGTTTATATTGCCAACGGTTTAGAATATTTCGTCCTATAAAAAGTGGGCAACTTTTGGCCAAGTTTACGGGGTAACATTTTTTATATAGAATTTGCCCAAGTCTGTTTATCTGATTGACAGTATCAAATTGTGTCTCTCCGTTTTGGGGCATGTAATATAATTTTTAAAAATAGCTCTCATTATGCAGAGATATCGCATCCGCGGTCTCTTCAATAAAAGAAGACCTGGACTGTTTTCTCGCTCCAAATAGTAATATCAAAACACGAAAGAGACTTTAGGCTGATTTAATGTCCATGCTTATCCACTGGAGCGTGGAAGCAATTTATGGCTTCCTCGTTTATTTTTAATTCAGGCGTGAATCTAGTCTTTAATTAGAGGGCCATCTGAATGCGGGAAAACTCTCCATAAGCTTGCACAGGAAGGAAGGAATCATGTCGGAGTCTGGTCTAGATGGTGTCCGTCCCATTTGGTCTGGTGCCTGTGCCTTCGGCATGATACAAACAATCACTAATTGCCTCTCTCATAAAAGGCAGCATGGCGTTTTTGAGAAGAGAATAGGGTTGGCCGTTTTACCAGCACGATAGCATTGAGCGGTATAGTTATCAAGGGAGGCATGGCGCTTCCGATAAGGCCTTTTGGCATAATTATATGAAGAACCATATGCACACCAAATTGGAAACGGGTAGCAAGCTATTCTCAGAAACAGTGGTAGCAAGTTAGACTTCATAGCCAAATTAAATTCGCCAAGGAAAAACTTGTAGTTTTATCAATATTATACCATCTTACGTCCGACAGCTTACGACAAAAAGTGGTTGCTGTGTAAAGCGCTTTCCCAAGGTTCATTCGAGATGCTTAACGATAAAATACGCTAAATTTCCAGGGGATATCAGGTCGTAAAATGCTGAGATGCAGACTGGAAATGGTTTGATAAAGGGGAAGGCTATCGAAAAGAACTGCAAACCCTTCACGGTGGCATCGCTATCTGTGAGGTGGCCGACAGTGACGAGACAAGAAGTTACCGACCCCAGGGATTGACTGTGCTCGGAGGCCAAGAAGCTTGGGTACTTCCGTCTGCTGCCTCTTGCCCAAGGCCAGGCACGCACACTCGATACCAGATATTCGCTCCCACACCCTGCAACAATGACCGAGGTCCAACCGCGAGAGACGATCAGCGGCACGCACCTGAAAGATGTTGCGAAATTAATTTTCAAAGCCTCTCTTTGAATCCACATTACTGTATCTTTGCGTGGGCGCGTGATAGACTGAAAGTCGTTGTGTTGTCTTCATACTCGACGACAAGGGCATGTAGGATACCTTATGTCAGATACCATAGAGTTTATAGAGTACTGCCCGTCACATAAATGATGGATTTTGACATTAGTCGAGAGCTCTGAAGAGATCAATTTGTATACTCCATAAACACTCCACAAAAAGCGGCAAAGAAGAGGCACACCACGACATTGGGGAAAATAAAGGATAGGGAAAAATTGAATGATTTCGGAGGGTGTTCATTTTAGGAATTGCCTCCTTCATGTGAACTATCAATAAAAAGATGGAAAACAATTTCTCTACATGTTATAATCTAGTCCAAACCACTTTTAAAAATAACACCTTTTTTATTCAAGACCACACGGTTAAAAGTCAACGCATAGTTCTGCAGTATAAAACATGGCGTCTAAGACTCCGAAGTTAATTTCCTTCAGAATTCTCCCAAGGGTAAACATATCAGAACAATAGATATTTCTTTGACGTTTTATTCGCTGTTTTCCAAATTTACACCTTTGGACGTACCAGAAATTGACTACCCAAAGTGCGATATATTTTTAAGAGTGGAAGTGACAACAAAATCTGTGTTCTTACAGCTGCAACCATTTATTTTTAGGCTACATGTTTAGGTAGTCTATATATCAAGTGCAATACGTTTTCTTAGTTAAGGCTGTCCCTCGCGCGGTGGGACCCCCGAGTCGACGTGGTCGGTTAGCGCTGTGATGGATTGCCGAGCAAGACATGTGTTCGCGGGGCAATATGCGTCCAAAAACACATTTGAAGCCGGAAAGGCATGCACCAATCATTCCGGGTAAATCTTTCAAGAGAATGAAGCTTCGCTGGAACCGACTTGGATCTCCCCTCACTGTCTCCACGGGATCAGGTACGAATGCTCGGATGGCATTGCAACGAGGCATGTTTGTCATTGTCTACGCTATCCGACATTTGAAATGAATGTTTCAGCCGATCTGGTCTCCAGAGCGCTACCTCCATGGGGAAAATGTTAGAGATCCTATTACTTCTGACCTCTTTTATATTTACTGTTCACATCTCAAGTATCCGCTGATATGCTTCAGAAAAAAAACAAATCTATACGAGACCTTATAACTTGATTTGCAGGTCTATGTTGGATGTTCCCCACGGGTGACTCACTGATTGAAGTATCAATGGCAACGATATGGCAATTTATACAATAAAGCAACAAGTGAGGAACACCCCCATTAAATAATATGTATTTTCATAATTATACATGCTGCAGATTCCAAAATAACTCATTTTCTTGCTTTCTTCCACGGTTATTCTAAAATCAGTTTTAATTTCGTGAAACTGAGTAGCGAGGAGGTATCATTATATTGCATTCCAGATGCTATGTTAAAAAGCAAGCAGTTATGGCGCCAACATCAGCAGCTGACTGGGCCGGGCCCGCGCTTCATGTCTCTTTGAGAAAGTACCAATGTTTGCCCAACCGGAGCCAATATTTCTGACAGGCTTATAGAATGACATTTGCACGTTGGACGATTTTTTTTTAATTTAGACGGGCAAAACCTGCCGGTGGGTATGCATCGACCAGGAAAACGTGCGGGTCCCTGATTGATTGCAACAGTCGATCAATTAAAGTCATTTCACGCTGTTGGATTTTGACAAAAGGGCGACAGTTTATCTCTGAATGCTTCTTCCAAATGGGTATTGGGGTGAATATGTTACCCTAACTGTGCTGAAAAGGGAGTCGTCAAACAATTAAAAGTGTCCACTTATCATCTGACAGATGATTCCTGTCTGCAGGGCAACATAAGTGTTACATTAGGCGTCCCATACCACAGTTTTTATATTGGCTTTAGCTTACCTTGTGCAAATATTATATTCTCTCTTCCAAAAGTAGCAAATTGTTCCAATCATTGAATAAATACGCAAAGAATGTTTACTTCTTTTTCAAAACTGTACAAGGCTTGTAAACATTCGGCGATAATTTTAGTGTTTGGCTCGACAAAAAAATTCAATCCTTGATTAAGTTACAATTAACAACATCGGCAATAAAAAGGCAAAACTCCAACCACCTGAGTAAACATCGTCATCTCGCTTGTCATTGTTCTAACTAAATTTCCCAACAGGTGTTTGATACACATTTCATTCTTTTGCCCCTTTTCCCTTTGCTTTTTTCTTCATTTGTCTTACTTTTAAGAGCCGCAGATTACCTCAGGGTTAAGCCAGTGCGACAGACCGTAGACTCAAATAGTTCAGAAAACATAAGTCTGCAGTGCTTTGGGTTGGACGCTTTTTCAGTGTGGGTATATCAGGGTGGAATGGTGGCATCACATCAGATGCAAGTTTTACACCATAGTTTTTCCAGTCAAGCGTTTGGGGACTGCATGCTAGCCAGAGGTAAACAACGCACAGCATAAATATGTAAAAGCCTGGTCAACAGGATCGAACCAGGACCAACCGTGGCAATGGACGAGGGAGGAATCCAAAGACACGCAAGCATCGACCGTCCACTCAGCCATTATGATCATGAGTCAAGGCAGCAGTTATTGATAGCCCCAAGAGTGATGATCTGTTCAGGAATAGCAATTAACGGTTACAGTTGACAACGAATCAATTGTAAACTCCGCCAGAAACTGCCGGATTATACACGATCCAGTATCCCGGTTTCTCGACATTAAACTGTGCTGATCGATAAGCCATTTCAGGCGACGGCAGAAAGATGCACGGCAAACAGATACAGGAAAATTGAAAGATTGATGACGTACCACACGGGACATGTTCTGCCATAGTATTTTCGACAGAACAAACACTTCGAGAGCAGAAGAACGATGAGAGACTAAATGCATGTACGCTACATTTTACTTTAATAAAAAATTTTCCTGTGCCAGAGGCTCTGTTCGATGAAAGTTTTAGGTGCATATCACTAAATGTATCCGTAATATGCTTAAAAACGTGGACAGTCAACTACAAAGCTTGCCATGAGTGCACAACCCCTGCACGTTGGAAATGAAAAACCCCAAAAATCAACTTGTTCTGCCGTAATCTTGTCATTTGCAAAATTGTTCTTCCAGACTATTCAATGGGCCAATGTACTATATTGTAGCTCACTTTCTCCTAGCTTTAATTTTCCAATTATGACAAAGTAAATCATTGTCAATCCGTCTTTGCGTTAATACCTACAAATTGCTAGCATTTCGCATCCTCGAAGCGCACAAAGAACACCGATTCAGCGGTTTCAGTTGTGGAAAGCTATGCTTCCATTACCATTACTTGCTCTTGTATTCCGTGCATAACACCATATCTACCTGCATTACAGCAATAGAAGTCAATCATCCGATGAGTTAGTGACCTAAAGTAAATATTTCCTCTCTGCGAACGATGGGGTTTTGTTTGCGCGATACTCCAGGGAAGGAGTATCACAGCGGCCAAAAATGACAGCTCAAATAAACTAGAAAAAAAGAGACAAAAAACTGCAAAGGGTGGCTATGTTACACAACCAACTCGAAATTAGACTACTGACCATAGGCAACCAACTTTGACGATATAAGATCAAGAACAAGGTGTGAAATTAGCACATTTCGGCATGGCCTGGAGATGTTTACATCAGTGTATATTTATTAACATCTCTGCTCTTGCAGTTTATATCTGCTCGTGCAAAGTGCACATGCAGGAATTACTGTTGTAATGCCAATAGTATACAGGTGTACATCCACAAGTTTTGAATTGAATAACTAGGTACACGGGTACGGTAACCCTTTGCAGGAACTGCCGTGGCCTCGTGTATGTTTCCTCTTTGAGAAACAATGACATAACCTGACAAGACTGTTAGAAGATGTCCTTCAATTCATGCAGTTCCTGTCGGCGAAAAGTTTTTACCAGTTCCTGGACGTCGAAAAAGACAGCGATTCGAAAGAGCACCCTATGTTCAAGCCACGGGCACTCCGAGAATCCCTACGGTAGTTTTAAATGTCATTTCACAGTTATTGTACAAAATTAAAACGCGGGCTGATTTATCAATCCGCTTTTGCAGTCTGCACTTCGAAACTTCGATGCTCATTTAAGGCATTAACCGTACGGTACATCATTTTATACAGGTTAACAGGGACAGGTGGTTTAGTATACAGTTTTTAAACGTAATCAACTATGCCTCCACTTATTTTAACCTTGTTCTGTCTAAGGAAGCTAATTCCCATACATTTCCTCTTTTGTAAGCAAGGAAACGTACTTCTTTGTCAGATCTCATTCAACTACAGTTTGCTCATGCTTTACACACCACAAAGCAAAGATTTTGCTGATTGCAGTCATTCAAAGCAGGTTCACCCATGAAGTTATTCTATATTTAAAGAAACCTATTAATCAAAAAGCTCCAGGTATTTCACAAACCCTTGGCATTTGCAATGGGACAATTTGTGTAACTTCAACAAAAATTCAGATGAGATACGATTGCCTTTAGCGACAACCTGTCAGACCTTCAGTGGTGCTTTGCTGCTGTGGTAGACCTTTGGGAAATTTACTTGATTTCGGTTCGTGCCTGTGCAAATATACACCACAAGAAGATATCATACATTGTTTATGCTGAAGAAAATACCCAGTGTACATCATAATAATTCGAATTTACTTATCTTAGCCAAAAAAGACCAGTGATCAGGCTCTCTGACAGTCTGTCAGGCAGACGAAATCTCGATAAATTTAGAAGAAAACATCTGAGAAATTTGTTAAGTGAACAAAGTTTTTTCCCTAAGAGGAATATTCCCTCCGCAAGTAATAGAATCGGAGTTGGTTGAACCTGTGCTGAGTGGCTGAGACTTTACACGGAACGGTAACTTAATGACACGTCTCCCTGAAACATCCTCGACAAAGCGAAGCGCAAAAACAGTCGACTGTGATTTATTGACCCGCAGCTCACTCTTAAACGCGTCACAAGGCTTTCCTGG